CCTCTGCCAGGTTCACTTTGAATGATACTGCTTCCACTGCCGTGAACCCTGCCGGAGGTGGTGCGGGCGTGCGGTTCTCGGTGACTGTGAGGGTTCGTCCGATGGCGTTTTGGAACTCGACTTCGAAGCGACCGTTTTTCTAATCTGAACGTTAGCTCGTGTGTTTTCATTCTCGTATCAAGGCCCAACTCACTCCTGGCGGGAAGAGGACGTCTTGCTTTACGCCTGCGCCGCCCAATCGAACTGGGACATTGAAAGCTCCTTCGATTTCCTTCTCGTTCTCCTTCTTCTCGCCCTCGCCTCCTGCCCCGGCTTCCCCACCCGCTGCGGTTCCGTTCTCTGCAGCCCCTTTAGGAGTCTCCGCTGAGCCTGCTGCAGGTATCCTTCTGAAAAAGTTTCCTTCGGTTGTAGCCCCTTCGCCTCGGGATACAAGACTGACGGTCGACGTCGTTGAGATTGGCAATGATGTGACGACAAGAAGTTGTGTCGAGAAGAGAATCGCCCGTGATAACTTCATGTTGGAATCCTAGATGGGATTGCTGAAGAAAGAAGTTTGGGTGTGTAAAACACCACCGCTGTTGGTTGACTTGACTCAGAAAAGACGGGAAGCTTTTTTAATTACAAAGTAATCGTACAAAGTAAGGATAAAATGGGCAACAACGAAATGTGGCTGAGTTAAGGTTACAGCGCGGAACTGAAACTGGTTATATGGCCAGACGAACGCTTTTCCAGTCAAAGTCCGCGTGGACAAGTTTGTGTAAGCGCAGCTGGGAGGGAGCAGCCTGCCAAGCGCAACGGCATCATGAAACCCACATGGGACCACAAGGATGAGGCCCTTTCCCCCACCATCCGTAGCGCCAAGCGCGCCAAGGACCACTGAGGAGAGAACAAGCGCTTCGGGAGCCTCATCGAGCGCCTAATGGGGAAATTCGGGGCTTGAGTTGACTGCAGGAGGTGCCTGGTCAGGTCAGTTTTACTCGAGATCCGGCATTGGCACAGCTTGGCGGTATGGCAACTCGTCTCTACTTGACATTTCCGGACGCGGCTCATCATGCGGAGAAGCTTGTCACCAGATTTAGAAGATATGAGTGTTTTTCTTGCCAACTCGCATCCGTACGCAGTCGTGCGCGGCAACGATGTCATTCAAGATTGTTGTCTTCCCATTTCGCTAACTACTAGGTACCATGTTGCAGTCGCAGACAGTGGAGGCACAATAGAGATTTAAGCTTAACGCTATCCATCAACTGTCATCAGTGATGTCGCGGGTCGCAATTCGCTCGTGCAGCCAGCGGCTGCACCTCCTTGGAACACTTCTCCCCGCGAGCCAGCACCCAATTTCGGTTGAATTTGAGAAGGGGAATCCGAACCCTCCTTTGAGTCTCAGATGACAGCTGTCGTAGGCTAAACTTAGACTCTCAAACGTGGTTCCTCAGACTGTCAAATCAGCACTCAGGTAATCCCTGTACTATGAACCCCCGTCACCACCCCCACAAGCCTACCCAAGGTGATGGGCCATGAGCATGCGACCAGTTGCTCCGTTCGGGGGCCGTTCTGGACAACACCTGTCGGTTCAACCTTCTCTTTGCTGAAACACGGACCACATCGCCATGAGCAGCCGAGCCAACCCCGTAGTTGATTCACGCAGGGATTTGGACTTCATTTCCCTCGTGTGCAATGAGTATCACTCAGCAAAGAGAGGTTTACTTCAATCTCAAGTGATTGAGGGCCCTTGCTCAGCAATCCGGTGGCTACCAAAGTTTCCGTGTAGCAATTGCAAAATTTATGTCATGAATCATGACCTCGACGATGGCCGGCGGCATTGCGTTCGCCTTGGCAATCAGCCCAGTTTGACTCGCCCCTCACATCCGGCGAAATCTTCAGCAGCATAGCTCCGGCCATCTTAACAGGCTTCTACCCAGACCAAAAGAGCGGGAAGCACGCCCTTTCCCCAGTGTCCTATGAGGCTTTTCAGCGTTCATGCAACGATCTTCCTTGACATCAGAGCAAGGCTGTATTTTTGGCTCAGAATCAACAGGATGACGATTGCGATTGATAAAAACGGAAGAAAATCCATCTTCACGTAAGTCGGTGGAGCAGCTTTCGGAGCCGACAACTCCGGCCCTATGGGATTTAGCGGGGCTCGAACGGCAAACCCGGAGCGAAGTGCGGGGTCTCGGACCCGCTTACGGTGAACCAAGGTACCTATTCTCCTTCCTTATCAGTCAGTCTGACTTTGTCCAACGTCTTCTAGTCCCCCTCACTTGTCTCACGCCAAAGTGAGTCACAGTCATTTCACGTCGCGAAAATATCTCCGATTCACCTATCCAAGAGTTCAAGCACCGCCATTGAGGACAGTTCTCGGAAATGGTGACCAAAAGAGTGGCGCGATACGGTGACTGGGACAGCCCCATCACGGCTGACACAGTCACCTCCAAGAGCTGGTCCGTCACCTCGCCCCGTGTTCATGTAAGCCTCGTGAATCAGTGGCTATCACCCTTTCTGACGTTATCTGTAGCGTGCATCCGGTCGCGCGTACTTCAACGAGTCCAAGGAAGACGGTCGCAATGGCGTTGTCGAAATCACCAGCGACGGACCCAAGGACGTGCTCCCAGCACCCTGGAGCGCCCACAACTCCGTCTACGAGTACGGTGGCTCTCCATACGATGTGCTCTTTGACGGACGTATCATCTTCTCCAATAGTGGTGGTGATACCACCGGCGTCAACGTGCTTGACCCGAATTCTGGGGAGGTGAAGCCAGTCACAGCAGGTCCTAACCTCCGATATTCCAACTTCAGCGCGAGCCCGACGAGCACTTGGGTGGTGGCCATTGAGGAAGACCACACTATAAACACGCCACGAGAAGTGAAGAACTACATCGTCGCCATCAATGCAGACACCGGAGAAACAAAGAGAGTCGTGCAGGGCGCCGACTTTTACTATACACCGCAGTTTAGCGAAGATGGTGCAAGGCTGGTTTGGATGGAGTGGGACCAGCCCAACCTTCCATTTTCTGCAAGCAAAGTCTTTGTAGCTGACTGGAGCCCGTCTGCTACCGTCGAGAATGTGACCCAAATTGCAGGCAACAACCGCGAGGGCGCTGCTGAGCCTAGATGGGGTTTGGATGGAAGCTTGTTTGTGTGTATCGAGACTGACGGATTCCGTCAACTTCACCGCATTGCCCCTGGTCAAGTAGAGCCCTCGCAGATCAAGCTTAAAGACCTTGAGAATGCCGAATTCGGTGAAATTCGATGGTTTCAAGGAAGGTTCGTTTCAGAGGAACGTTTACGAGAAACAGTCATCATTCTAACAAGCTTCCAGTCACACATACGCCCCGCTGTCTGATCGACATGTGGCAGCAGCAGGCATCTTATTTGGCGAGGCAAAACTCATTCTCATTGATCTCGAGACGAATGACTGGAAGCCTATAGGCCCACCCGGCCTCTGTGCCATTGCGTTCGATTCAGTCGCAAGGTTGAATGGTACCACGGTGCTGGTTATTGGAGAACAGAAAGCGTTTCCTTCGGCTCTCTACAAGATCGATGTGTTGAGTGAAGAGGTTACCACCGTGAGACGAACTTCCGATGCCGATCTGGATGAGGGGCTCTTCTCGAAGCCCGAACTTGTCCAGTTTCGTTCAAAAGGCTCTCCTTCCCGGATGATCTACAGCGCTCTGTGGATGCCGCGCAACCTGAAGTTCACGGCTCCAGGTGACACCCTGCCCCCGCTGATCATTTCGTCTCACGGCGGTCCGACCGGATATACAGGCTCTGGGCTGAAACTGCGCACCCAATACTTCACAGCTCGAGGCTATGCACTTCTCGCTCTGAATTACACCGGCTCGACGGGTCACGGACGGGACTACCGCGAGGCACTATTCCACAATTGGGGCATTGTTGACGCAGACGACGCTGCTGAGGTCGCCGATCATCTCGTAGCCGCAGGCAGAGTTGGTAAGGTCGGTATCGTCGGCGCAAGTGCGGGAGGCTACAACGTACTCCAGGCTCTTGTGCGCCATCCACGTACCTTCGATGCGGGATTTTGTGTTTGTGGTGTCAGCGACGTCAAGAAGCTCGATGAGTCTACTCATAAGCTGGAGTCGGAGTACATGGGTGCTCTGGTCCTCGATCCTGGCATGACCGATGAGCAAAAAGAAGAGAGATGTAAGGAGCGAAGCCCTCTATTTCACGCGGACAAGATCCAGTCGCCTTTGTTTCTACTGCATGGCATCGAGGACACAGTGGTGCCCATTGAGCAAGCACGTCTCATCTACCAGGCTGTCAAGAACAAGGGTGGAGATGTTCGGATCAGGGAGGTGCCTGGAGAGGGCCATATGTTTGGCAAGCCGGGGAGCCCGCAAATTTGGCTGAGCGCAGAGGAGGCTTGGTGGCAAAAATACTTGTTGTGATTCTCTCAGAAAGTGGTTCTCACATTGCTAAGGTTGCCAAATCGCCTTCTCTGATGCTTTAATTCAACGAAACCCGTGACTCTACCGATACCTGGCTATCTGAACCAAGTCACGAAGAAACCATGGATAAATGGCAAACAAAAACTTTCATGTAGCGTAGGTAGGCAACATCCTTAGTTCGAATCTCTGTCGCATCATCTGCTCTTACCAAAATATGACTAAGAAGCTCCAATTACCAGGAAAGTTGCGTTTGATCACCAAGTTGCAGCCTGTTGCTGGACGATGATCGAGATGAAGAGGCAATCGACAGCTCCTTTCAGAATCCTATGATTGGCCACATGCATATGCAGGGCACTGAGTCTGCCTTGCTGACTGTGCTGACACTTATCTCTTGGCTGTCGAGCTCGCTACAGCCTGATTCTCCTCCCACGCATGAACCTTCTTTCTTCAATCGTCCTTCGTTTTTGGATTTGTCCCATATGCCGTCTACAACGACTGATCTCTAATCCCGTCCTCATAAGTCGGCCCACGAGACTTCTACGAATCGACTACCGCCAACGTTGGGGGTTGCCGGGCTCATACATACGTACTGCCATGAGTCTCAAACAGACAGAATGTGGTCATGAGGGAGCGACGCAGGCACCGCTGCTTCACGACGCCTACACTGTAGGTTGGGTGTGCGCCCTACCCAAGGAGCAAACCGCCGCGATTGCAATGCTCGACCAACGCCATCCCAATATTCCTAATATGCAGCCGCCGACCGACCCAAATGCCTACACCCTTGGATCAATGGGCAATCACAACATTGTGATTGCCTGCCTGCCCAAAGGCCAGATCGGTGTCGTCTCAGCAAATACGGTAGCTATGAACATGGTTTCTACTTTCCCAGCCGTAAGGATTGGCCTCATGGTGGGAATCGGAGGCGGTGTTTCGTCGAACAAGGTCAGACTCGGCGACGTCGTTGTCAGCACCCCAACAGGAACACACCCCGGGGCAGTACAGTGGGACTTTGGCAAGGCAAAACACAGCGGCAAATTTGAGCGTATAGGATCTCTGAACAACCCACCAACTTTCCTCCTGGCGGCACTGACGAAGTTGGAGACTTCCCATGAAATGGAAGGTTCAAGAATTGAGGAATATTTAGCAGAGCTCGAGAAGAACTTTCCGAAATTAGCGTCCAAATACCTTCGTCCCGACGCTTTACGCGACATTCTTTTCAAGGCAGACTACGTACACGTCGATGCAGAAAGCTCATCATCGGACGAGGACGAAGAGCCCGACTTCTGCTGTCAATGCGACAAGACAAAGGCCAAAGAGAGAAAGTTGAGGGATACTCGCATTCATTACGGGCTGATTGCCTCTGGAAACCAGGTCATAAAAGATGGAACATTTAGGGATAAGCTCAATAAGGATCTTGGTGGACACGTTCTTTGTGTGGAAATGGAAGCAACTGGGCTCATGATAAATTTTCCATGTGTTGTCATCCGAGGAATTTGCGACTACGCGGATAGCCATAAAAGCAAAGGATGGCAAGAGCACGCAGCTGCTGTAGCAGCAGCATTTGCCAAGGAGTTCCTAGCTCAAGTAGAGCCCGACACCATCCACGCAGAACGTTCAGCGCACGATGTTCTCAAGAATAGTGAGTAGATAAGACAATACTTGAAGTTGTTATTGAATACGTACTTAACTCACAATGTAAATAGTTCAAGATACCGTTTCGGCAACTGCGGCCAATGTCGATCATATGCGGAGCCATTTGCATCAGGAGGAAGATTTGAAAATACTCGATTGGCTTACACCCACAGACTACGGGAAACAGCACAGCGACTTCTTCTCAAGACACCAGCCAGGCACCGGTCAGTGGTTTCTCGACTCCGACCCTTTTGAGACTTGGTCGAAATTTCAAGGCAAAACGTTGTTCTGTCCAGGAATTCCAGGATCTGGCAAAACAATAATTACATCTATTGTGGTCAACTTCCTTAGGAGAACCTTCAGAGTCAGAATTTTGGTCTGGCCTATATCTACTGCAATTACCAAAGCCACAAGGAGCAACGCCTACCATCGTTGTTGGCCAGCATTCTTAAACAACTATCTCAGACGGGCTCATGCCTACCTAAGGCTGTCCGAGACCTCCACGAAGTGTGTACCAAGTTGGAAGAAGAGCTACGAGATGAAGACTTGATTGAGGCCATAGTTCAAGTTTCGGGCTCACTATCCAAAGTCTTTTTCGTTGTCGACGCACTCGACGAGTGCCAAACAACAGACAACTGCAGGTCAAAACTCATAAGCCATCTAACGAGAATTCAGGAAGCGTCAAAGGTTAATATTATGTATACGTCACGACACGTTCTCGAAATAGAAGGGTTATTTGTCAGCTGTTTGAAACAGCCTATAAGAGCGGAAGGGTACGATGTAGGCATTGTAGTCGACAGCCAGTTGCCATGGATCCTCGAACGTGTGCGAGGAGGCAGTGAGCTTGGATCTACAATAAAGTCGGCAATCAAAAACCTTGTGGATGGAATGTAGGGACACTGAATTTATTACTGTTACTCCTGTTCGCTAATTATCGTTCCAGGTTTCTTCTCGCGCAGCTGTATTTGGATGTTATCAAAGATACAACAAGCATAGCAGAAGTACGTAAGACGTTGAAACAGCTTGAGGTTCAAAACTCCACCTCGTCTGGAGACGACGAGAAGCGCCATATCCTGGAGCAAGCGTATGACCAAGCCATGGCAAGAATACAAAATCAACCGCCAAACTTCCGAAGATTAGGCATGAGGACTCTCACATGGATTGTATTCGCTGAGAGACCTCTTGGTAGAGTTGAGTTACAGCATGCCCTGGCTATAGAAGAGACGGACACCAAATTCGACCCCGAAAAAGTGAGAACCATTGAACTGATCCTAACAACGTGTGCTGGGCTGGTCACGATTGACGAAAAAAGCGATACAGTCCGACTAGCCCACTTCACTACGCAAGAATACTTTGTGTCAAAACAAAACGAGTATTTCGCAAGCGCCCAGTCAGACATTGTGTCAGCTTGCGCGACCTACTTGTGCTTTCAAGGGTTGCGGAAGCATGTAATTCGCCATACCCCGAGGAAGAAGTGTCCAAATCTTATCTGTCAGCTAGCAGCATATGCTACCAACAACTGGAGCCAACACGCACGGAAACATGAAGCATCCAGTTTACATGCATCGCCAAAAGTAGTGGGTCTTTTGAGGGACGAAGAAATAGTTAGCTACGCATGGGCATATGCCCGGGGTGTGCAACTACATCAAGATACAGGCCGAAAATGCGTATATCCCCGTCGGTATCGCATCGGTGCCTACGGCTTGCATGTTGCAATACACTATGACCTTATTCACGCGGCTGAAGATTTAATAGAGGGCGGGGCCGATTTGGAGTATAATCCGGATAAAGCCCAAACTCCCCTGATGGCTGCCGCGAGTGGTGGCAAAGAACGCTTCGTGAAACTTTTGCTGGAAAAGGGGGCATCTATCGACATAGCGGGCAGAATAGGGAGCAATGCATTAGTAGTTGCGTGGAAGGCAAGACGCGAAAATGTCGTTACAATGCTCCTCAACGAGGAGGCTAGTTTTCGACGCGCCAAAGAAATGTCGGAGAAGACCTCGAAAAAGTCCGAATTAAGGTGGTTTAACAAGGTGAATGAGAGGCGTTTTGAACCACCTAAGGAATTGAGATGTAGTTAGGTTCACAGCTCCCTTAGTTAAATCAATGGCTATACAGCCACAACGTCAGGAAATACCTAGTTAGACAGAACCAGGGACGCCACCGAAATAACAGAAGACCACAGACAACTATGTAGGTGAACACGGAGGTGACGTCTCTGCAGAGACTGGAATACCATACTCAAAGACATGAAATTCCTGAGCGGCACAAAGACGAAACCTTTTCGTGCAACATTGAATTTTACTATTTGGTGGCTCGCCCAATATTGTCGATGACTCATTCGATTCCTATGAAGCCCTGCTACTCTCATCCTTCTCACTATCCTTTGTCTTCTCCTCTCCATCATCCTCAATCTCAACCGTCGCCGCCGCACTCTCCAAACCCTCCTGGTTTCCACTCTCCAAGCCTCCAGACTGCGCCAGGAACCAATCCGCAACCTCCCTCTTGCCGTTGAAAAGCGCCGAGTCAAGCGGGATCTGGTCCTTGTCGTTGGCAATCGCAGGCGACGCGCCGTTGTCAACAAGAAGCTTGACGAGCTCGAGGTGGCCGCCCAGACACGCCCAGTGCAGGCCCGTGTTGCCAAACTCGTTGGCAGCGTCGACGTACGTCTTCTTTTCGTCAGCGGGGCGGGGCTCGAAGGCCTCGATCAGCGCCTTAACGACGTCTGCGACGTATGTTAGCAACCGTATCGAAATCTCCGGCGTCGAAAATGGCCAGCGCAGGGGTTTGGGAGGGGATTACGTACCGATGTGGCCGTTGCCCGCGGCCATGTGTAGGCAGGTATTCTTGCCCTCATCCTTGGCGGCTGTGATGACCTCGCCGACGGACGCGGCCTCGCGCTCCGACAGGGCCTTGAGGGTCTCCTGCAGGTCGGAGAGCTCGCCGGCGCGGGAGAAGTAGATCAGGTCGTCGATCTCCTCTTCTGAGAGTTTTGGCGCCATTTTTGATTGAGATTGTCCGGGGTCTGGGCTTCTGGCGTCGCAAAGTGAGTCTTGAGAGGTGAAGTAGAAATTTTTGAGTGATGGTGGGTGGAAACACGGTGCGTAAATGATAGTGCGTACTCTACACTGTGCGCTGCCGAGTCTAAATGACGACCATCAATATTGAAAACAAAAGCAAAACCCCCAGAAAACCAGACGCCGCGCTGCCGAAATCAAACTCTCGTCATATGTGTATCCAGCCAGCCCGAAATGTCACCGGCATCATCCACCGCTTGTATCTCCGCCTTGACGTTCAAAAATAGCATGATCTGTAGCTCCCTTCGGCACTCGATGTTGTAATCGTCAAAGTCGTCAGGTATATTTCCTAGCAAGGTTTTCGCAATCTTTCGGTCTCGTTCTTTGAGTGCATCGGTTGCCTCGAAGCTGCTTTCTGATTGCTGTTGCCTGGAAAAGGCAGAATCGTCGTCGACCTCCAGATCCCGGCTACCAAGAAGATCATCGCTCTTGATTCCAAGCCACTGCATGCTTGGAACAGTGACTCCGACTTCATGAGCATGACCTCGGGATCCATGGCTGTAACAGCGCATGATATTCACGCCATACGGATCAAAGTCAACAAGGCCGTAGATGGGGATTTCTGGCTTGGCCGAGTGAAGGAGGTGAAGGAACTGCTTCGTTTGTAGATCGGGAACACCCTTTCCCTGATAATGATGTTAGAATTGCATCAAAGACCACGAATAAAAGCGAACATACCGTAATTAGAATACCTTGCCCGGCAGATGACGTGTCCTAGTATCGTGCAGCAGCCAGAGTACGGAAGGTGGCCTACGATGGTCAGTATACCCTCTTGATCAGGAATCTCGTAAGAACTTGCATCTTTCTCGATTACGAGCACCCACTCAGCATGCTGGAAATCAATTCTCGAGATGTTTCTCGTCGTCGGGATTGTGACTCCCTGGCTTGCATTAGATGGATTAGGTCCCATGCCGAGGATGAGTCTTACAGTATCGCTTGCAGATGCGCTGACACTAGATGAGTCTCTCATATGTAGAATAATCGGTCCTGCTAAGAGTCCTTTGGCGCTGGCAACCTGAGAGGGGGTAAGACGTTTGTTAGTTATGATGAGGAGGGACACTGACAATATTCAGGTCATCCCGCCCTATTCCAAGGGTGTAGCTAATGTCGTCGACCAGGCCATCGACAATGGCCTGAGTCTTGAAGAGATCGGGACATTGATAGAACAAATTCCTACGCTCTCCTGCCTTTAGAAAATAGGCCTTGAAGGAAAGGAGCCTTGCTAAGTACTGACCTCTTGGTGACCGGATTGCCAGACAGGAGGGAGCTGTGGGAGAGGTGGATGATCTTCAGCACTTGAGCTAATAGCTTCGTCAGCTGGAGGACCCAATATCATATATCAACATGTGCTTACTAAACTTGATGCTCTCGTTCTCAGTCCGACCAGGGAATTGGAGGACGGATGGCGCGGATCGAGAGCGGGTTGCGCGGGCTGCGCTAGGAGGGTTCCTTCTAGACCCTGGACGGGTTTTGTAGGGTACACGGAGAACTTCTTTGTTCTCGAGTAACTCGTAGACAGAGACGAGTATCCCCTGCAGCTTTGCGATGGCTATGCCGACAACATTGTTGTCTGGGTCTGGATCTGGTATGTCGACGATGGGGCTGGACTGGTGAGCAGGCTGTCGGGTTAGTTGGCCACGGCGACCAGTCATGTGGAGTGTAGCATTGTCCATTTGGTCAACGAAGACTGCCTGACTTGAGCAGTGCTTCAATGAACCTCCCGCAACTTTGGAGGCGGACGCCAGACCGTCATGGGTGTTGGTGCATGATGATACGAATTCCCCCAAAATGGCGGGGAGGACACTGGACCATCGCAGCTGAAAGAGCACGAAACCCGTCCCACCTCTTCAGCCATTGGCCAATGGGATGACGCCCGCCGGCACTCTCACCGTCTGGGAAGGAAGGCACCGCACACCGAAGGGCCTGAGCATCGGTGGCTTCCTTCCCTGGTGGTGTGAAGTCAACCGGCAGATCGCCCCGACGAAACAAAAAAACGACACTGGACGGGACCGTGGGCTGGTTCGTGCCCACAGAGGCTTCAGGCACCCGAAGCCGCCCGGGCTGAAGCTTATCCCAAAGAGCCTCCTGGTGCCGCCCGCAACATGGCACCTGTCAAAAACGCTTAAGCGTATCCGTTTACGGTAGGTTGGAGGTGTTGGTGTCTATGATCGGCAAATTGGTGCCGTACATGATCAAAAGTCAATTGCAGAGACGAACGGATCGAATTTTTTGAATTGGATATTGCCTTGGCATCCCCCTAGAAGCAGTTGATTGAGTGCTGACCTGCTTTCTCAATAATCCAATGGGGGGAAGACCCCTGAGCGCTCTGGTTGGTGCCCCCTGTACTGATTAAATAATGATTGGAGCAGGGGTGTCGTACGAGGATGTGGTGGGTTATCGCCGAGCACATGCATCTTATCGTCTGGTCACTTTTTTTCTGGACACCGCCTCAGAGAGACACGCAGGGGACCGCGCTCTGTGTGCTGACTGGGCCGCTGTTTAATAAGTGCATGAACGCCCACTGTCACCAAGGTGCGTCTCGCCTTCCGCCCCCTTCCGTGCTCACAACACCTTTCTCTCGACCCTCGGACCTTCACACTGGTTTCCCCAAGGTTTGAATCACCGCCAAAATGGTCGTCGAGAAGAAAGCGCCCTCTGTGGCCTCGAGCAACGGCAACAGCCTCAAGCCAATCCAGTCCCGCAAGCGTGTCGCGGAGGCCATCGCAGAGCAAGAATGGCCCAAGAGACCCCGCATCGAGGCAAAGACGAATCGCACCAAGTGGCGCATGAAGGACGAGGACGGTCGCCATATCTGGAAGTATCTCGAGGACGACGATGCCTCCAAGGAGTGGCCCCAGACCGCCGCCGACAAGTACTTCTTGGGTCTCCCCACGGTTAGTAGAGCCCCTCACGCGACATGCGCCAAGTGCACCACTAACCTGCTCTCTGTGTATAGGACCTCCCAATCCTCCCCGAACCCAAGAATCCCCTCGACGCTACCCTCAATGGTCTCGAATACGTCGAAAAGCTCCAACTGCCCTTCGGCGACTGGGGTTGTGAATACGGCGGCCCCATGTTCCTCCTCCCGAGTACCGTCATTGCGCTCTACGTCACCAAGTCGCCCATCTCCTCAGCAAAGGCGACCGAGATCAAGAACTACCTCTTTGCGCGCGCACACCCTGAGCTGGGCGGATGGGGTCTTCACACCGAAGGCATCAGCACCGTGTTTGGTACTTCCCTGAACTACACCACTTTGCGACTACTTGGAGTTGATGCGGAGGAACCTGTTATGGTCAAGGCCAGAGCCAGACTCTACGAGCTCGGCGGCGCAACCCAAGGGCCTCACTGGTCCAAGTGGTGGCTTGCCGTTCTCGGCGTCGTCGAGTGGGAGATTGTCAACCCCGTCCCCCCTGAGATCTGGCTGTTGCCCAACTGGGTGCCCATTCACCCATGGAGGTGGTGGGTCCACATCCGTCAGGTCTTCCTGCCCATGTCGTACATCTACTCTCGTCGCTGGAGTGTTGAGGAGACGGACGTCATCCGCTCTCTCAAGAAGGAGCTGTTTGTGGAGCCATGGGCGGCCATCAACTGGAAGACTCACCGAAACGACATCGCCCCTGTGGATAACTACCACCCCAAGTCTTGGCTCCTCAACACCGTCAACTGGCTGCTGGTCAAGGTCTGGAACCCTTACCTGCGCACCAACTACATCAAGGAGCGGGCCGAGGCGTGGACCAGCGACTTGGTCGACATGGAGGACGCCAACACCGATTACCTCGGCCTGGCGCCTGTCAACGGTCCCATGAACCACGTCGTCTGCTATATCCGCGACGGCCCCGGTGCTTACACTGTTCGCCGTCACACCGAAAGACTCGAGGACTCTCTCTGGGTTAACGCCGAGGGTATGCTTGGCAACGGCACCAACGGTGTGCAATGCTGGGACACCGCATTTATGATCCAGGGCGTTGTCGCGGCGGGTCTCGAGAAGGACGCTAGGTGGCGCCCCATGCTGGAGAAGGCACTGGGCTTCCTTGACCGTCAGCAAATCCGCGAGAACTGCAAGGACTCGGACAAGTGCTACCGTCAGCAGCGTAAGGGTGGCTGGCCCTTCAGCAACCGTGAGCAGGGCTACGCCGTAAGCGATTGTATCTCGGAGGCACTCAAGTCTGTCATCATGTTGCAGAAGACCGAGGGTTTTCCGCAGCTCCTCGACGACCAGCGCATCTTTGACGCCATTGATTGCATCCTAGTGTACCAGAACGAGACGGGTGGTGTAGGCTCGTACGAGCAGCGCCGTGGCGGTGAGTATATGGAGATGCTCAACGCCGCCGAGGTTTTTGGCCGTATCATGATCGAGTACGACTACCCCGAGTGCACGACTGCTTGCGTCACTGCCCTCTCGCTGTTCCAGAAGTACTGGCCCGATTACCGCAAGGAGGACATTAGAGTCTTCATCCACCGTGCCGTCAACTGGATTCGTTCCCACCAGAAGTTTGACGGTTCATGGTACGGCAGCTGGGGTATCTGCTTCACGTATGCCGGCATGTTTGCGCTGGAGAGTCTGGCTAGTGTGGGCGATATCTACGAGACGAGCAAGGTATCGAGGAGGGGCTGCGACTTCCTTGTCTCGAAGCAGAGAGAGGACGGTGGATGGTCCGAGAGCTACAAGGTAAGGAGTCCACCTCCGTGTGAATCAGAATTATCAACTGACGTGACTAGGCCTGCGAGACCTCGGAGTATCACGAGCACCCTAGCGGCTCTCTGGTTGTGCAGACCGCCTGGGCCTTGATCGGACTCATGGAGGCCGAGTATCCCAATATCGAGCCCCTTCGCAAGGGCATCCAATTCCTCATGGACCGTCAGCAGGCCAATGGCGAATGGCTGCAAGAGTCCATGGAGGGCGTCTTCAACAAGAGCTGCACCATCATCTACCCTAACTACAAGTTTAGCTTCTCCATCAAAGCGCTCGGCATGTTTGCGCGCAAGTATCCCGACGAGAAGATTACGCCTGGCATCAGCGGCAAGGAGTAAGGGCATAAAGCATATCGCCATTTCAAGCATACCTATTTTATAGTATTTTTTAATCTTAATGATATATGCGATGACTTACGGCTATGGTTGGACATCTTGGAAGCTTTCCTGAAAATAGGTGAGATGTTTGCCAGTTGTGATGTTACAGTGGTCGCGATTCAGTGAAGCACTCGGTGAGGGGCAACGGCTTCGGTGAGCAAGCCACCAACGGTCTCGGTCAGAAAAAGGCGGTCACAGCCCAGAATGCGGGGTGGCCCAAGCTTGCCGGCAGAATCGCAGCGGTCGGCCCCACCACAGCTTCCAGAACAGTCTGACCCCTCCGCAAGGCAACCTCACCGTTTGCTTCATCCAGCACCCTATTGGGCCCGTACCCGTTTGCTTTACCACACTTCCATTGATCCTTCTTTGTGGACAATTTTTGCCGTTTATCAAGGGAGTCGTAGGCACTTAAATTTACCACGCACCGCTTTCAATCTCTGATTCTTTCCCCACCACACATCATCCATCCACATCCGCATCCACGAAGCAACCAACCCGAACCCCGCCAAGCATGTCTGGAAGCACAGCCGCCAGCGCGGGCATGTCCGCCCTCGAAAAGCGCGACTACGACACGGCCATCGCCAAACTCACAGACGCCCTCAAGACCTCCCGCTCCCCTCTCTGGCTCGCCGCCCGATCCAAGGCCCACATTGGCAAAGGCGACTTCACCAGAGCCCTCCGCGACGCAGACTTCTCCTACGCCGCCGCCGCCGCTCGAGGCAAGCGCGACCTCATGCGCGATGCTCAACACCGCCGTGCCGTTGCCTACATGCGCCTCGGCCGCCTCGCCGATGCCGACGCCTGCGCGATGTGGGTGCAGCGCATGGCCGAGCAGGCTGGCGTCTCGCTGTCCGACCCGGCCCTTAGGAAGCCCGAGACCGACGAGAGAGGCTTCTCCACCGCCACAAAGCAGACCATCTTGGATTACAGAGCGGACATAGAGCGGAAGAAGCTGGCCCTCGGGAGCAGCTATCTCGCGGACACAGCGCCTGCCGGCCTTAATGCGGCGGTTGCGTTGCGTATGCAGATCCTGGGGCAGATGGACAAGCTCCCTGCGGACGATGAGAGGAGGAAGGTGACGGCCTCTTTCGCGCCTAACGTTTCGATTGATGACTTTGAGAAGGAGGAGGCGGCGGCTGCGATCGCCAAGACTGACAAGGCTGCGGACACAAAGGCCTCGCAGGAGGATAAGGACGATGTCAAGGCCGCTGCGGCCGAGTCGGTCAGAAAGCCTGCCGTCCAAGCTGACGTGCGTACGGACTTCTATCAGACCAACACCGACGTCATGGCGTCCGTCTATGTCAAGAATGTCCCTAAGGACGAGTTCAAGGTTGAGTATGGAGAGAAGGAGGTAAGTAGACACGCGAGCATCCGCATCCAAACGAGGACTAACGTTTCGCAGATTCGTATGAGCCACATCCCGGGCCACGACCCTTGGTACACCATCCCTCTCTACGGCACTATCGACCCCGCCGGCAGCAAGCACAGCGTCAAGTCTGTCAAGGTCGAGTTCCAGCTGAAGAAAGCTGCCGTCCTTAAGTGGCCCAAGCTCAAGGCCGAACCCTCCGATGTGAACACCACGATCGCGACGCCAGCCCCTGCTGCCCCTACAAAGCCTGACGAGCCCATTTCCGCCGCTATTCTTGCTTCCGCTTCGGGCCCGGCCTACCCGACCTCATCCAAGTCGGGCGCCAAGAACTGGGACACGGTACTGGCCGACGAGAAGGACGATGATGAGGACAAGGACATCAACCTGTTCTTCAAGAGCCTGTACAAGGGCGCGACCCCGGAGCAGCAGCGCGCCATGATGAAGAGCTTCACCGAGAGCAACGGCACCGCTCTGAGCACGGACTGGAACGACGTCAAGGACCGTACCGTTGAGACGCAGCCCCCTGAGGGAGTCGAGGCCAAGAAGTGGGAGGCTTAGGAGATGGCCTAGTGTATTGAGTGTTGGTCGGTTTTCGGGTTATTTTTCATGAAAGGGATCACGGAACGTTATCTATCAAGGCATCAGAGCTCCAAGCTCAAGGCGTGGCGTTGGAATCATCGGGTAGTCAAAAAGTAGCTTCTCTTCAGTTGGGAGTGTTTTAACATGCAAGAGACAGAATATGATCTGTCGTTAGTCTACTTAAATATGGTATCTGGATATAGCGTGATATGCTCTTAGTATGCAACTACGTTCGGCTCTCTGCATAGCGAAACTCATGCAACTTGTTCAACGTGCTCAAGAAATCCTCGTTCGCTACGTACGTACCCTTCAACCAACGACGGCCACTCCCGGCGTCAAACTCACGACGCCCGTGTAATACCCTCTGGTTGTCGAACAGGACGCAGTCGCCAGGCTGGAGCTTGCGCTGGAACATGTGCGCCTCGTCCTCGAGGATCTTCTGGAACATGCGCGCGCCGCTGTGCCACTCGCGGAAGCGTGCGCGCTCCTCGTTGTCCTTGGGGATGTGGAAGGGCGCCTGGAAGGGCGGGGACCACCAGACGTCCTGGACGTGCTTCTCATCATCGGTCCACTTGAACACGGGCCGCTCCTGGCGGTAGAAGAAGCCGTTCTTGGAGTAGTGGTAGGGGACCTTGACCTCGCCGAGGGCCCTGAGCTGCGTGGCTTGGCGCTTACGCATCTCGCGGGCGGCGAAGAAGGCGTCGCTGAAGATGGACTCGCCGCCGGAGCACGAGTTCTCGAGGCAGTGGAGCAGCTGGATGCGGGGCGGGGACTCGAGGTAGAGCATGTCGGAGTGCAGGCCGAGGTAGGAGGAGGTGTAGGCGACGTTCTCGGCGTCGGGCTTGGAGATGACGTCCCAGGTGCGGCCGTAGAAGGTCTCCTTGAGGGCGCCGAAGGTGAGGCCGATGTCCGCGACGGCGGTCTCGGAGTGTGGCACGCCGGTGAGGAAGACGAGGCCCGTGGCGGCGAGCTCCTGGGCGCCGGCGCGGAAGGCGTCGCCGCCGGCCATCCAGTCGGCGTAGGGGATGGTGCGCAGGCGCGGGGCGAGGATGGCGTTGTCCCAGAGGAGGCGCTTGACGGGGTCCTTGGTGAAGTAGACGCGCGTCGGGGCGAAGGGGAGGGAGTGCTCGGTGGCGATGCGGGACATGCTCTGCGGGCCGGCGGCGGGGAAGAAGGAGACGTGGTTTGCGGCGGCGGCGCGGGGGATGTCGTGCTGCCAGGTGATGTGGAGGGAGCCGTCGGGGTGTTTGGTGACGGTGTCGAACTTGAGGGCCTCGGGGATCTCGGCGGAGGAGAAGGACTTGTTGCCCGAGGAGGGGCTGACGCACTGCGGGCAGGGGCAGCGGTCGCGCAGGTAGATTGCGCTGAGGAGCCTGGGCTTGTTGTCGTAGTCGAAGGGGCGTTGGATCTGCATGAGGTCGTCGGAGATGAGCTCGTAGGTCCATCGCTGGGCCAGGCGGCTGCGCTCGCGGCGGATTGCTGTCGTGAGGGTGTTGGCGTTGCGGAGGTATATGCGGACGGAGCGGTCGAGGTCGGCGAGGGTGGAGGACGTTGTGAGGGGCTCGTAGGGCTCGAGGAGGAGGGCATCGGAGGAGGCAGAGGTCTCGGGAGACTCTTTAGCTTCGGAGGCGGGGGTTTCTGGCTTTTGACGACCGAAGACCTGGCGAAGGGAGGCGACTGCGCCCTCTGCACCCTGGGGTCTCGGGGAGGTTGTGTGAATGCGCGCGGCGGGGGCGTAGGTGTGCGATCTACTGCGTGAGCTGAAGCACAGCGCAGAGGCCGGCCTCGTCGCATTGAGGGCTCGCGACGCGCGCCCCACGGGGGAGATTGAGGTCCTCATGGCGGGCTGTCGTCACTGGTGCGTTCGACGGAGGGAGGAAGAAGGATGAGACGTGACAGGTAGCGGGAGGAACGCTGTATCTGATGGACGATGTAGAACCTGAAGACGCTTGCGCTCTAGCTGGAGGGAGATTCCATGGTCTGCTGTGTCGAGGACCGAGGCGTGGTGGATGGGCGACGGGAAGAAGAAATAAGTGGACGGTGGCACGATCTGGAAAGCTATGAGCGGGCACTGGGCAGGGGTTCGCGCCGGTTCGCCCAATGTCTTGCCGAAGAGCTGTCCCGCGACGGGAGCAGCAAGTGAGACCTCAGGGGAGCTACGGGCCTTTCCAGAGAAGCTAGATGCGGTAAGGAGGGGACGAACCTCGGTCGGAGGGCAATTCTGGGGAAACGAAGAGGCGGGGGAATGAAGCACTGTGCCACATCTGGGAGCGAGTCGCACTGTTTTTCACATGAATTTTTCCTGGTCAAGATCTAATCTTATCTTTGCCATCAGCAAGCCCAGCGACTTCAGATGGTCAACTTTTTCTTCCGCAACATCTCTCATCAATTCAGTTTTTTACAATACTTCTCTGATTCGGGATCAACGAAACCGCATGAGAACATTTCCGCCACGAGCCTCAACATTTTTGCGCAAATCTTCACATGCCAATACAATTAACCCAGCTTGGCGGCCTCGTGACCTACTCTGCTCCTCCAAGCGCCGTAGCCGGACGACGGGAACATCGTGCGGCGCAGCTTAGCCTCTTTCACATGACCTTCGCGAATAATATCTCCCACCGAGCTAGGCTCTATGTCCTACCTCGTCTCTCACGATGTTCACCTCTCTTGCATTGAAACTAGTTTTGCTGTAAAAGTGTCGCCCGCACACACACACTGCGTGCGGTTGTCGCGATTGCTGGCTTTGTCACCGGGCAAAATTATGGGAGACTGCTATTTGCAACACTTCCTATGCGCTCTATTATGCAGTTTAGCTAGCTGGGCAGTGTCAACTGGCTATCCGGGTAGTGTCCACTACACACTCAAATAATTCGTACATCCTACTGTTTTTTAATATACTAAAGCGACGAAATATCTTATGTGCTCACTTTTGTCGTTGCTATTGTTGTTGCTGTCGTCGTCGTCGTCGTTGTCGTCGTCGCCATTGTTCTCACTTTTATCGTTGCTTCTGATCGCCTGTATTATTGTCGTCTATTGTTATCATCTCTCATCAAATAGAAGTACTGAGTGCGCGACGATTAAATTAATAGGGAATAATGCTCGGCTAGCAAATCTCATTACATGACTAGCTATCAGATATCCTTTGAAACGTCGCATGCACTCTATCCTTCAACGTCTGGTACCGTCTTCTAACGGGGGAAACCAGTCGTTTTCTCCAGCTCGGCAGCTTTTCTATAGCATCGTACGATTTCCTTCCGTCTATTTGGCTCTTTCTATTGCACTCTTCACCCACGTTCTGCCTTGGTTTTGCCCTTTGACCTGCCTTCCGATTGTCAAGTCTTTGTGCGTCGTTGATGTTGACAATGAAGCCAGCGTCATTCTGCTCCGTTCCCTCACCCCTAGTAGAATGACTTGAGGTTGGAATCGCGTTGTTCTGCACTAGCTTCGGTAGTTGCTCGGGTGGTATAAATTTGACGTTAGAGCCATCTCTCGGTAGCGATACGCGGGATGCCTCGGAAGAAACGGTTCTCAGACTGCGCAGGCTGGGCGTATTCCTTCCTAATGCAGACCCCATGACTGCAGGAGAAAGAAGCCCGTTCGACACCCCTACTCGTTGGTGAGTAGGCTGGTTTTGAGGAAACGGGATGGCGTCACTGAAAGCCTGGTTGATGGTCTCCAGGTCAAGTTTTGATCCACTGTCCCTCGGCTCAGGACTTGTGGACATTGCTCCCACGGCAACCCTGCTGTAGGTTTTGCTCTTCTCCGTCCAACGCGGGGCAATAACTGCCCCTTTGGTAGATCTTTTCGAATCAGGCTCGGCATATTCAGCATGCTTGCCGCACTGGTTAAAAATAATATTAAGCGTTTCCTTCACCATATGCATGCCACATCGATCGTCAGGAACAACCACAAGCATATGATCTTCAACTAAGTCCAGAAGACCTCTCAGAGCTGGAGATGTATGCGGGTGGCCACGCAGACAATGTATCCACTATAACGTCTTAGTTCAAGTGCAGAAGCAATTAATTGGTGAATGAATTAGTCTCAACTCACTGTTTCGACCGAGGCTTTGACCTTAGCGGCGTTCGTCGCAAACTGGTTGAAGAACTTGTCCTCGCGGTGCGCAAGCCCATCATCATCACTTTGCCTTGCAGTACTGAAGCTCTCGTATGTTTCACCGTCTTCCGCTTGAAAAGAACCCTCGGTGATAGCGTCGCCACCGAGAAGATGCCATGTGACGAACTCCAAATAGACGCATCCCAATGTCCAGATATCAAATTTAGGACTTGCAACGGTACTGTATAGACCATCTGCCTCAGGAGGACGATAGGTTGTAGTTTTGTCGACTTTCGAAGCTTTGGTGACGTCAGAGTCGGGAGAGTGAAATCGCATCAACGTGAAGTCCGCAACGACAAGTCGACCAGGAGGATTTTGCGGGTCCGCAAAAAAGAGTAAGTTCCTGGATTTGATGTCCCCATGACGACCGCCGTAGTCATGAACCTTGCATAGTCCATCGGCAAGCCCTTGACATTGATGGATGAGCCAGATTAGTTCCTCTGACGAAGCCGAGTTGTTCTTGTTGTATTTCCAAAACCCTTCCAGATCCCAGTTCGCCCCCGGAAATATCATGAACATGTGCGATCCTATGTCGTAGGAAAAAAGTAGTCGAATAAGATTATTGTGCCTGTCCTCCGGTAGGCTAAACCGCAGCAATGCCTCTTTCTCGTTGAGAAAGTGATCTCTTTGGCTTTTATCAAAACGTTTAATGGCGTAAAATGAGTGGGGTTTCTGTGCGTGAAAATGTCAATTAACATGAACTCTCCAGATTCGAGGATTCCTTACCGAAAGTGGTGCCCATCTTTGGTATTTCTCATGTATTTTGACCTTCAACACAAGCCCGTTTGCGCCTCCTTTCGCCTGCGACCAATCCAGAACCTCTTCAAACGGCATTGGAAATCTCTCATCGAATGCGCGGTGTTTCGTTGTGGTAAAGTCCAGGACAGGTGCAAGTACCCAGTACTGTCGATGGCAGAAACTTTCGATGTGTCCATCTAACCAACCGTCGAAGAGCATTGGATGACTGCCTGGATCCAAGGGCAATTTGTCATCCCAAATATCATTATCTACGAAGTTGATAATGTAAGTGGGTTCTTCAATGAGTACAAGAGTGGCGAGTATCTTGAGGCGCTTTAAATCACGATGTGCTCCCCATATTTGTTGTTCAGGATCGAATAGCTCTTTTTCAAGTTTGCTGTTTGTATAAACCATCTCCATTACCTCTTTCACAGTCTCGATTGTCAATATGGTGTTCAAGTCGCATTCTGGTAGGAACCTTGGGAGATGAAAGGAATAGGGATTAGCGGTTTTTGGCAATACTTTCTTTCTTAATTTTATTCCCGTCGGGCTGCGCAGTCTGATCGAACTTGCATTTGACCCAGTGGTCGACCGACTTGTTTGTGCGCTAAGGCGCCGTGAGAATTGTTGAGGATCCATTCGTGTTGGTGCTGCTGTTTGGACCTGCTGCAAAATGTTCTGATTGTTGTTGGAGTGCTATCTCAAGATGGTAACAGGAGGGCTGTAATGTGACGTTCCCATACTAATGTAGACAACTTGTCAACTTCGAACGCAAGATAAGAAGAGGAATCAAGTATAATACTTCAGCCAGAGGCTCACGAAGGTAACAGCAAGGCTGCCAGTCTAGAAAGATAGGAACATGCTTTTAAAAGAACGAGCCTGACGAAGTGCAGCAGGCCATCTCAGCCGTATTCATGACTTTCAGGAGATGCTGCTCATCGAAAGATGCAGGTCGACCTTCCAATCTTGCGGAGGCACAGAGTCCATAGGCGCGTGATAAGACCCAGCCACACAAGGCTACGGTGATGGTTCCCATCGGCGGTGCCCTTTCTCCATCACAATTTTGGCAGCGGTGCTTCTGCGATATTTTCTTCATTCAACGAAAAGCAATCCTGCAGCGTTGATGACAAAAGAATGGGCTGCCCCATGTGCAAAGTCCTTTGGTGGCAGACGCCTGCGTTCGGTGCAGTACGCTCCGCAGATACGAGGAAAGTGATATTACTGGCTAGGGTTTCCCTTGGCACATACACCCTATCATGTCATGAGGGACATGGTCGTGCGATGGGGTGACTGTCTTCAGATTTTCCATTTGTCAGCCTGGTCTTAATTGTCTCACAACCTCTGGATTGGAAGTGTCAGTCTGTGATCAAATGGGCAGGCTGTGGGATGTACAGTCCTTAATGTGCAGTTTTTGAATGCAACCCCCACGAGGGGATTGCCTGGTCGAGGCAAAGCATTGCTGAGGTGGAGGGCATCACAGCCTGATTCCGTTTTGATGGGTGTAGGTGTCTTGAGAATGGGGCTTGGAGACCTACATATAGGTAGGGATGGGCGGCTGGAGGGGTGGCAGATGACGTTTATCACGAAAGTGTGGGTGGCGAAGTGCATCCCAATGCTGCAGAGTGAGATGGCGGCGGAGTCCAGGCAACCAGGCGCCTCCACTGAGCTGCGCTATCCTACGAGATAATGGCACGTTCTCCGAAGGCTGACTTGGGCACACAGCCGCTCCCTCGCGGGAGCGATATAAGGCACATTCTGTCAAGCTTTGATTTCTGTCCTGTTCTCAACCAAAATTTTACTCACACAGGATTGCCCTCTGCTGTTATCTTTCTGCTTTTCAAATCAACGTCATTGAGATGGACACTACATGTACCATTGAGCGTCGCATTCAGTCAAGTTCCATTAAGAAGCCCCAACATCTCGTTGCAAATCTTCAAACATTTTGCAAAAGCAAAGGTTTTCAGATGGAAAGCTTGGAACTGCGGAATGATGTCTACATAATATCTATGAAACCGCTACCACTGAACCAACCCGAGGCCACGGTCGTTTGTTAGCGCAAGTGAGAGTCGAGCATCAAGTTCCAAATTTGCTCAGCCGCTGATCTTGTCTTCAGCTTTGTCGGCTTTCATACTGGAGGCTTTGGTGGTGCCCCTATTCCTGTGGGCTGTTCCTTCGGCCATGGTTAGAAACCGTAATGGCTCTAATTACACATTGATGGAGCTTTGGTGCTACCTAACACCCTAAAGTGGGCTGACTGGTATGCGAAAAAGCTTTGCTTTTGAGGCCTTTAATCTCTGAAATTCGATTCGTACTTTACCATGACGCCTGATCACCCATGGAGAAATTTTGGTGTGAAGTGTGAAAGTATCATAGCGATGAGATCGGACCATTGGGTCTTTGCCGACGGTCACGTCGCCTCAAGGCTCTTCCATCAGTCTCAGATGGGATAGAAAGCAGCCGTGCCTATCACCTTTCACTCGCATATCTATGCAATGCACATCGTCTATTTCATGGCCGTGAAATAGGTAAGGTATTGATCAATAGATGCCCGGAGAAGAGGCGCTTACCTAGCAAGGCGGTCACTGATGGCGGCGAAGGACAGAATTCCCTTTCCTCACTTCCATCTTTTCTCCATGCGCACACTCTGCACATATGATTACGTGCATACAGGCTCAGCTGAGCGCCGAGAGAACCGCCGAGGTCTAGATAGTCAGCAGTTGTTGCCTCATATGCACCTCGCTCGCCTGTTAAGTGGAATTGCGAGCCGGCCCCCCCACTTCTGTGGACGCCGCATGGTTCGCTTTCCCAGCTTCGGTAAACAGCTTGGGACTGTAAGATTGAATAAATACATCATGCCAATCGTCGATACCAAATTATGAAAGCTCATCGTGGATGTTTTTGGCCCTTTCTGAGCAAGTCTGAAAGTTCTATCGTATCACATCGCCATGGCAAATCAGGTTTCCTGGCGTTCCATCAATCAGCAGCTGGAAAACCCACCAAAGTTTGGCAAACCCCCCAAGGACCACTGCGACCCCTTCTTGCCTGAAAGCAGGGTGCATACCCTGGTTCAAAGAAAGCATGTTGAGTCAACATTGAGAGCGAAAATACCCGCCATCACTCACAGTGACCTCAAGAAATTGACCAACTATGTCATGAACAAAGCAAACAAGGTTTTCTTGACACTTGTCCGCTCAGAAGCCGTTCCGGGGAACTTGGAACTCTTCCAATCGCATGGGTTCACAGATGCAGACCTACCGATTGGATTGAACGGCGAGAATGGTAACGGAATCTGCAGCGTAGGGTTAGACGGAAAGCCGAAAAATCCGAATGGACAGTCTCTGAATCTTTTCGATGACTTGTCCGACGCGACTATAGAGACCTTCTTTCAACGCCAGTGGATCTTCTTAGCGCCTACCTTTCGAAAGGATCAATTCGAGTACAAGTTCGACCATCACTGTTCACTTCCATTCGTCGATATCCAAGACAAGGATCCACATAAAGGTGGCTTTGGCGCAGTCCGCAGACTCGGCTTGCAAATCGAATACACGGACTTCCTGACTTTCGATAAGGTAAATGTGGGTCCTCTTGGCGATTAGTGCATGAACTTACAAGTTCTCAGACAGACAAAAATGCAAAGCCGTATGTTGAGGTTGCTGTGAAACTTCTTACTTCTACGCCTGCAGTGGACGTGAAGAAGTTCTACCGAAAAGAGATGGAAACACTCGAGGTGATGAGGAGTCTGAACGACGACCACCTGATTCAAGCCATTGCCGTGTACAAGAAAGGAAATCAGAAATGTTTCGTCTTTCCGTGGGCTAAAGGAGGTAGCCTCCAGGACTTTTGGGGGAAAGATCGAACCAAACTCAGCAGGGGGTTGGTTGCGTGGGCCATTGCGCAGATGTACGGAATTTCGAAGGCTATTGGAAAGCTTCACGGATCAAGTGAAAAAGGCATCCGACATGGAGACATCAAACCCCTGAACATTCTTCACTTCCATGAGTCTCGAAACGGATCATATTGGGGAACTCTGGTGGTTGCTGACGTTGGGCTCGCAAAACTCCACCAAGACTACACCGACCTTCGAGAAGGGACAACCACCAAACATGGAACCACCATGTACGAACCGCCTGAAATGGTGAATTTCGCCGTTAATACTACGACAATTTCCCGCAAGTACGACGTATGGAGTTTGGGTTGCGTTTTCCTCGAGTTCACTACCTGGCTGCTTTACGGGAAGGCTGGACTTGATCAATTCTACGGAGACCTCACAGCTTCGAAGACATATAGGTTCTGGATAGAAAGTCGAAGAGGCCCAATACTTCATCCCGTTGTGGAATCGCTGATCGAACGGATCAAGAACGACGTCAAGCAGAACAGCGCTCTTTGGAGATTGGTGGAGCTCGTGTCTTCGTGGCTTCTTATCGGGATCGATAAAGATCGCCGCATGGCTGGGCAGCCCACCAAGTACACAGGCCGTGCGACTGCCCTTGAGCTTGTCGAAGAGCTTAGAGATATTCGTAACATAGGCTCGAATAATGGTTCGTACTACTTCGATTCTGATATGGAGACGATAGCCGAGCAACGACCGGACCCTAACTTGAACATTGCAACCGACCAGGCGGTCGCGCCGCGTTCTGAACAAGTGAGTCACATTGAACATACCAGTCAAATCTGAGCTTTTCTGACTGAATCGGGCTAGTACGTGAGTAAAGATCGGTTGAGGAAGTTTTGGTGCTTTTAAAGTTACTGACGACGACAATGTGCACTCAGAATGTAAGTCAATCTCGATCAATGGATGAGAAGTAGCCTGACTGGATGTAGCCGGTAAGTCTACATAATTCTTCGACCGGGCTCTGGCATTGAATCCAAAGCTTACATTCAAAGCGCACAACAAAACTTGATGACATGTGGCGAAACATACCAGACAACAGCTGGGGACGTATCTTGACTCAACGTCTTGACTGGGGCCCACTGAGGCCAGCAGTTGAATCTTCAAGACTTTGCAGTCCTTGCAGAAACACCAATTTCCTAAATTCTCGCCTGGAGTTGGATCGGAGTCTTGGTGATTTGAGTCGCACATCTGAAGAATGCCCTATGTGCTGTTTCCTTTTGCAATGTCTTTCGAAGCGGTCGCTGAATTGGAATGAAATGGTGAAGCTATCTTCCAGCAATGATGAACACACATTCTTATCATCTATCAATGGTGCACGGGCTATATCGCTCTACTTTGATCCGGGTATGTGGCTAATCGTTGGCGTTGGGCCAGAGGCTAATGCTGTACAGAATCTCATGACCAAATCCCAGCCCGCGCGCAACTGGGACTGCCTCTACTTCCAAAAGCTGGAAGTTCACAGCAGTTTAATCTCCTCGAGCAATGGATTCAGCTCTGCAACACACGGCATCAGTGTTTGCAGACTAAGACGAGACCATCAGGGCAAATGCCGACAAGGCTGCTTTACGTGGGAACTGAGCGTGACCCCTCTCTGCGCCTCATCGAGACGAGGGATGAAAAAGTAAACGGTCATTATGTGGCTCTAAGCCACTGCTGGGGAGTTCTCGACAAGGAACAGAGGGTCTGCACGTATGCCGGCAACATCGAGACGTTCAAGAAAACAATCCCTTTCCAAACTTTGCCGAGCACGTTTCAGGATGCAGTCACAGTCACGCGCGCACTAGGAGTTTCGTATCTCTGGATCGACTCCCTTTGCATCATACAGGAGGATGATGAGGACTGGAGGACCGAGGCGGCTCGAATGGAGGATGTTTTCAGTTCGGCGTACTGCACTATCGCGGCTAGCTCCTTTACATCATCCCTTGATGGATTTATCGCCAAACGGGCCCAGAGGGCAGCAATAGGCATCCAGACTCCGCAAGGCACCCTCTACTTGGCTGAGGCCATCGATGACTTCAAGACGCACGTCGAGAAAGGTGTTCTGAACACCCGTGGCTGGGTACTCCAGGAACGAGCTCTGTCAAGACGAACCATTCACTTTACTTCCACCCAAATGTACTGGGAATGCGGAGAGGGTGTTCATTGCGAGACGCTCGCGGAGCTTGGCAAGTGAGTCACCCTTCGAGAAGGACGAGTGCGTAAACGACCTACTAACAAGTGACCCCCTACAGCCGACAATCGATGTTCCTCGGGGACTCGAACTTCCCAACCTATGGGCTCGAGTATTACAGAGACGAGCGCATCCGACTCGTACAATACCTTTTTCAAGTCTATAGTGGACTCAGCCTCACGAAGTCTCATGACCGCTCAAAGGCGATTCTCGGACTGCAAAAACGCCTAGGCTCCACGTTCAAGTCGACCGCCATGTATGGTGTCATCTCAAAGTATTTCGAGAGAACTTTTCTGTGGCAAGCAAATGTTCCAGCTTCTCTGTTACGTATCGACTATGAACCGAGCCAGACAGTTCCTTCATGGTCGTGGATGGCTGTCATGGGGAGAATCCGATACATGGACATTCCGTTCGACGAAGTAACATGGACCGGCGATCTTGTAAACCCATTCAAGCCAGGCTTTGATGAAACCGAGTGGGATGGACAACTGATTGCCAAGGCAAAGAGGCTTACGATCAACGATGATGAATTTGAAGGGAGATGCAAGATCGATCTGGGTCTTTACAAATTCGAGCCAAGCAGCTGGAAGTGCGTGGTAGTAGGGGAGAGCAAGGCCGCCAACGAGGACGGCGACAAGAACCAGTACGTTCTGCTGATACGCAAGAGATCATCTGTTGTGACACCCCCTGTCTACGAGCGAGTTGGGGTGGGGATTCTTTTGCAAACGCAAGTTGGTTTGGGGACTATCAAAGTTCATATTGTATGACATGTTGAGTTGAGAATTTATCAGACTGCAAACACATTGCAATACCGAGATGATAGGCCTATTTGGCTTTGGCGTTAGTCTTCCTATCAGCGCAGAAACTCTTCTTCTGGTTATCCTCATTGTTGTCACTGTGCCCATGGTCGTCGTCGTCCTGTGCTCACATTCCACTGCCCGCCAGGACACCTAGCAATAGTTTTGAACGAAAATAATGGGAAAAATTAACCAACAAACGAATCGATACTACTAGACCCAATACACATAGCTCTCTGTCCGCTTGATTAAACCGTCCGCCTGGATAACAAAAGTCCTTTGGCTTTGGGGCATGAGTAAGAACACTTATGCGAATAGAAGTGCAGCGAACCTTCTCTTGCCACCCGGTGGCTCATGCATGATGACCAGTAATTCGCAGCGATATAGAGGGCCATGTGAATATTCAAGCCCGGTTCTTACGAACAGCGCCAAAAAGCTTCCCGCGATGGTCCAAGCACTCAGTCAGGCCCCTCCAAAACTTTTGTTCAATCTTTGTACATTGTATCTAACAATATTTACATCTAACCACACCATCAATTACCCCAACTCTAAACGCTCCGTCTCAAACAGTCGAGCTGTTAATCGCCTTCCAAATCTCATCGCTCAGCGTCTTGTTCGCATTAAAGTACGACGCCAGCTGCGTCTCCTTCTGCAGCACCAGGTCCGCCACCAGGCGCCCGAAGACGACGCTGCCCTCGGCGTTCAGGTGCGTGTTATCGTCCGCCTTCAGGTTGTACGAGTGCGCCTTGTCCTCGCCGATCGCCTGCACGAACTTGCGGCTGTTGAGGTTGAGGTCGATGTACGTCGTCTTGGTCTCGGTGGCCGCCGCGATGGTGTGCTCGCGCTCGTTGGCGAGGTTGTTCGTCACGACGCCGTTGGAGAAGCTGCGGCGCGTGAGGGGGGTGACGAGGATGGGCGTCGCGCCGAGGGCCTGGATCTCCTTGGCGAGGTTGCCGAGGTTTGCTTGGTACTGGTCGAGGGAGATGTTCTTTTCGGGCTTTTGGTCGTTGTGGCCGAACTGAGAGGCGGGCTTCGTTAGCAGCTTGTTCTCTCACACGATGTATCCTGCTGCTGAAGCATGAGTAGACGGTAGAGGACTGGCTTACCTGAATGGTCACGTAGACGTCAAAGTCCTTGACGCTGTCCGTGACGGCCTTCTTGACAGTTGCCCAGTAGCCTCCGCTGACGTAGTCCACCGTTGTGCGGCCGTTGACGCCGTAGTTGGTTCCCTTGGCCGGGCTCTTAAGGAAGCTGAGGAATCCGTTGCCCCAGCCGCCACCGCCCTCGGACTGCTTCGCCGTCGTGGAGTCACCGGCGAGGTAGAAGGCAGGAGGCTTTGTTGCCCGCTTCTCGGCCGGGGGCGCAGCCATAGCCATGGCCGGCAGCAGGGCGGAAATGATGGTTTGAGCCTTCATGTTGTGATAGTCTACACGGGAGGTTATCCGGGCTGAGAGTCGAATAGCTTCAAGATACAATACGACGGCAATCACAGATGCGAGCAACGAGGAGCAGCCATCTCGGCCTCTTATACGAATTCGGTTTCAAGACTCAAGGAAAGAGACACTCCGTAGCTTTTCCCCAGAGCTGCATGACCCTTACAAACCTAACCCTCGTCAACAGCATTGCCAAGCCATGCGACCAACCAGATGTTCGGACGCCCCTTTCTGCTTCTGGTTCGTTTGATCCGATGTGCGGTTGAGCCAGGGTTGCCATTGCAAACAGAATGGTGCAATGCAAGCTGTGGCCAGCTGGTCTCGACACATTCAATGTACAGCGGCGTGGAATTCAGCGAAGCAAAAAAGTTAGACCCCTGATGCGCCGGGGATGATGCTGGGAAACACGGAGATGTGCGGGGGACCCAGGCTTGCCAGGACGGGCATTCGCAGCCTGCAGCTGCACTTTTTTAGAGTTTCTCCGTCAATGAGAAGGGAGAGCTTGTAATGTGGCCCATGGCAAGCTGTGTACTTGGCACATCTCCAATTGGAGCTAAGCTTTTGAGGGGTGTTCAGTGAGGGGGGCACTGACATGGGATGGGTTGAAATGCGACGCTTCGTTCCGACGGAAAAAGCTGGGGGACCATTCTGATCTCGGATCTACGCTAGCTACGTAAACTCGCAGGACGCAGGACACTGCAGCGGCAGTCTTCTCCCGCTTGGGAAAGTAAGCGCTGCATGCCGGACGAACGGACGGCAGTTTGTAGCTTCTTGCGGGCGAATCCGAAAAGTGAGCGAGAGAGATCGCGGGGAAATCCTTCCAGTGCGGATAGATTAAACGTAGATTGGGAATGCGAGCAGGGGCGAGTACACGAGGAGTGGAGTTCGTTCGGCCCTTGGAACATATTTCACCGTCGCAGTTCGTCCGATTCGGGCGCGAGGTTGGACTAGAACTGGACCGTGGAACTGGGAGCCGCCCGAGGGGCATCCCAAAAGGAGCAAAGTGAAGGAGGGGCGTCGGAGCTGGGACGCCTTGGTCGGCGAGCTGGCCACGATCACGCCGTAGCCCGTGGGACGGCCGTAATTGAATTTGACAGCCGTGACTCATGGAAATTGTGGAACGACACAATATGTTTTGCAGATTGCCTCATTATCATCATACAGCTCTATACCGCAAACGGGTACGATGTGTTTGTGTTTTGAAGGGGGTATTCTAGTAGGAAACTTCGAAATGGGCGTGCTGTTGCGCCGAAGATGCCGTCCTTCCCGGGTGTCCCGAATTGCATACTCATACTCTTACAACAATGCCCTCTCGTCTCGTCGTCCCAAGTTCCAGATGAGAGGGCATGAATGTCCCTTAATATTTGTGTTACATCATGTATCCATGAAAATTCCGTCCATCCCAAAGAACTCAAGCT